ATTTTTGCTAAGTGTATGAATTTTAAAAAAAATGGTCTAAGTGGAATTAAAGAAAAACGTCTCCATTCCGAATCTGAATTATTATAAGCAAAATAGTGCAAAAATGGGACTTCTCTTTAAATCATATAAGGACACATGTCCCTTCTTTAAACTTAGTTGCCAAATAAAAACGTTGGTCATACACTTAGGTGTCACTATGACAAAATTCAGCCATGAAATGAGATTAACTCACAACAATGCTTCGAAAACTTCACTTGGGCCGTGACTACAAATTTTGGGCCTGGCATTAGCTAAGCGCGAGTTGACTGAGTCGGATTTGCTCCGGTCCAATTGCGACTTGACTTTGACGATTTATCCGAATATCTCGACTTCGAATAACACGTCAACTTAAAATAATTAATCCCGACTACTAATGTCCATTTATTAAATAAAAGGATTGAGATTAATTACTAGAATTAACTCGGTTAATAAATTAAATTAACCAGATATACCTTCGACTTAACGTCGAACTTGGAACTTAACTAGCTGAATAATTTAAACTTAAACATTAACATGAATATTTATTAACAAATGCTAACTTATACTCGAAAGCTAGTATTTTCCTTTATTAATAAAATTTAGGGCGTTACAGTAGTGCTCTGGATGATAGCTCGGCCCGCCCGTTACTCCAATAAGGGGTGTGAGAGAAGGAGAACATGCGGCTCTGGTTCATTGATCCCCTCGGTCAAAAACCCTGCACAAAAGAACAAACAACGACGCGAAGCCACCAAAAAAAAAAAAGAAAAGGGAAAGAAAACAAATAAAAGGGCAAAAAGCAAGAAAAAAACACAAAGAAATACGAAATAAAGATAAACAAAAGAAAATAAGACATCAAAACTAAATATCCTATTTGCCTTTCGATAACGGCGCAAAATTTGATGTAGCAAATTATATTTTTATCGAGTACGGGATAACTCCCGACCTCAAGTCGATCTCTCGAGGAAGGACGTTGGGAATTAAGATTCAGTGTTGATCAAACATAAAAAGAAAATAAGACCTATACATTCTAATCAAGAAGGATTGGTTTGAACTATCAGCTAAGAAGTACAAAAAAATGCAAAATCAGAAATCAACTCAAGAACACGAATCAAAGAATGATAAAGAAGCTACGAAGTCGGAATCATTTAGTCTAGTTCTAAAAGCAAAATCGGACAAATAATTGTTCAATTCAAGATTGACGCTATCGCTTAAAAATCTAGTAGTTCGCTCTCACAACTTTTCCTAACAAGTGGTTGAACATAGATGAACAAGTTCATGAATACAACACCGGCCTAAGGTCCGATCCCAATAACTCTCGTAACAAGGGAAAAGATGTAGACGAACATGTAATTCAATCCAAAAAAGTTATAGACTATTCTTTTACGAAGTCGTCTATCTCATGCGAGCCTAGGTCTGCAACTTCTCCTCTTTTGGTTCTAAAAGTTGCTTAATTAAATTAGAAGGTAGTTAACCAACTAATTTTTAAGAATTAACAACATCAAACCCGAATGAATCATGTTCAATTGAAATGAATTGCAAGTTGAGGTGTCACTCTTCAACAACATTCAACATTCAAGCATGAGAATTGAAAACCCCTTTCTAAAACAACTCACATAAATTTGAACAAATCAAGGCCCGACAAATATGAACGAATAAGAACAATTATCCTATTATCCCTAGCAATCGGATTTAGCTACACATAATGGATTCAACACAAAGCACCATATCAACACACATCAACATTCCCATAGATTAATTGAAAATTAATGCTTAGGATAATATAAAAGCCAATGTCCACCTACCGAGGTATCCAAAAAAATCATCCACAGACTACCAAGGTCTATAAAGAAACTCCTTGGCCTACCGAGGTGTCCAAAACATTCGTTCTCGGACTACCGAAGTCTCTAACGAAGCTCCTCGGCCTACCGAGGTGTTTAATATCCATCCAAATTATTACTCTCGATGTTCGTCAGGTAACTATTAACGCTGCTGACGTCGGTGGATAACAACTAGCTATTGAAGACATGAAGAAATAATGACATGGTAAGGAAAAAATTACCAAGGTCGGAGGACTTTCGAAAGCTGACGTCGAGCGTGAAAAATTGATGAAATCTCGAGAACTTGATCTCGCTTTCTCTCTCTAGAAAAGATCAATGTCAAAAGTGAGAAGAGAAATGTAAGTGAGACATAAAGCATCTTGACTGTCTACCTGTGCAATGGTACCGAAAATTCATCAAATACAAATGCTCTTATGTAAATGTTTCTGTATGCATAAAAATTATCGCGTACATAAAATGGGGGGCAAGTGTTAAAGGAAAAAATATACATTTATTAGACGACATGTGACTCGATAGAATAAAGGCACGTGTGTTCCGAGAACGTTACTGTCCAAGGTCAAGGCTAAGCCCCAACCTCAATTTAGGCCCAAGATTTTGAGAAGCCTTATTTTAGGTCCAAGGTCCCAAGGTGGCCCAATTGGTGGATTATTATAGTCCACCAAACTAGTGGGCTGGGAAGTCCTCCATCCGCACAGGGAAGACCTAGGTCGTCCGACCTCTATAAAAGAATGACTTAGGTCAAGGTAAGGCTATACACACTCTCTTCTACTCAATACTCTACAGCCGCCACCCTAAATCTAAAATCGATTCTAACTTAGGCATCAGAGGATCTACCACTTGGGACAACCCCGAGGTTCTGTTTTGCAGGTGTCGAAGCAAAGTAGATGCACCAAGGAGGACGTCGAAGCATACATCACCGCCACATGCCCTCGAACTAATGTCAGGTATTTCTTGTATCATCACCCTCTATATATAATTCTCGATAGTCGAGTCTAAGTGGCAGACTCGCACGCTTCAAACTCTTATGTGCAAATTTTTAAGCTTAGTTTTTGGCTTGGATAAATTTTAATTTATCTTCAATCCAAAAGTAGTTAGACATGAAATATCTATAAATATACTGGATATTTATGTTCCTTTTAAATAATTAATTATATTTTAATATTATTTTCTATTGTAGACGTGGTTTATAAGCTATAATTTTTTTAATAATCTTTCTTTTTCCTCATATATATTTTAAAAGTTATAACAAACTTACTAACTTAAATTATAAATGTATTTGAAAGTTTTTTTTTTCTTTTTTTTTTTCCAAAACGACAGATAATATTATAAATCAAAATGCACAAGTGTGCGAATACACAACAACCAACGGCTGAATACACAACAGTCAACAACTGAAAAAGTAGGAGGACATGTCAGAAGACCGTCTAGAATCCCGGCTAGCAACGCTAGAATAAAAAACACTCGAAACTAAACTAACTAACAACACAAACAACTAAAACAAACTACAAGAACCCTAACAGGGTAACCCAACATGATAATAAGTTTGACAGTTAATATTTTTTTTTATTTTAACAACTTTTTATGTATAACATGTCAAATTAATCATATCTTGATGAGCTTCGATTTGATATCTATATCATACATAAAAAAGAAATAAATAATGTTATATATTTTTATAATTAAATAAATTACCTATTAATATTAATTCAAAATAATAAAATTATTTAAATCGTGTAAGTGACGATTTATTTTAAATATAAATAATAACATAATCTTTCAAAAAATATTAAAAACTAAAATTGTTTGTGTTGTTATTATTATTATTTTATTTAATTTTATATATAATTTTTTTTTAACAAGTACCAAGCACATACTACAAAAATATATATCACGGTAGCTACATGCATTGCTATTTACTCCCAGAAAAATAATTGTAAATTACGAAAAATAATAGTGAAGGTCAGATGACTGAAATCATTTCCCGTAGATCTCAGCCGTTAGATGCCCAGAAATGAGCACAAAAATAAATAATAGTGAAGAAAACACATCAGCATATCAGAGATACCCCTACGCTGCCGCTGAGTGCTGACTGCTTTCTTCACATTTGGGTTTTCATTTTTCCCGACTCTCTTTCGATCCAGCAGCGTATATTCATCAGGTTTCCTTTTTTTTTTTTTTTTTCTTTGCATCAAATTCCTTTCTCCGTTTTCATAATTTTTTTAGTTAATCAGTTTCTTATGTATTGCGTATGCCTTTTGTTTTGTGTGGATTCATTTTTGGGTCATTAGGGACCATTTCGGCCCGAGTATAGAATTTTCACATAAAAGTGGGACTTTTAGCTAGTATTTTGAAGTCCGTTTCAGTCTTTCTGGTGTTTAGCAGTTGCCTTTCATATTTGTTAATGATGACCAGTAAATGGGCGCTTTATTGTGTGTCTTCTTTGTTTCACCCCACCTTAAGATTCTTGATGTGGGTATAGTCTGTTTTGAGTAATAAAGTTCTTGATGTGGGTATAGCCTGTTTTGAGTAATAAAGATAGGATTTTGACTGCTATTCCAACTTCTATATTTTAGCTATGAGAACACTTGGAAGTTCAACTATTTAATCAGCATCAGTTTAGCACTGGCAACCAAGAGGATTTTTTGTGAAAATTCATTCCATTATTTGGTCATATTTTTTTGTTCTTCATTGGGTAATCTGGAATCATGAATTTCAGGAGTCAACAATACTCAGTTAGATGGGAAGTAATGGTGGTGAGCGCCTAAATATTTTGGGAAATGACGCAGCTGAATGTTCTGAAACCACTGTTGAGATCAAGATCAAGACGCTAGATTCTCAAACTTTCACACTGCGAGTGGATAAATGCGTAATCACATCTCCCAACTCTACTGCTCAAATTGGTTAATGCAATTATATCATAGGTTTTATCTTAGTTTTATGTGACCAGTATTTAAGTCGCTTTAGTTTAAAGATCGGTTAAGGACAGTTTTGAGAGAATATTGAGTAGCTCGTCAATTTTACTGTCTTAAATTGGTGGAGTTCGATGTGTCCTCATGGTTCTCTGTGAACTTTCAGAAACCAGCTTTGAGTCATGAGTTGAAAATTATCACTTGGTAAACGTATTGCTCTCTACTGTAATAGTTGTCCCTTTCAGGATTAGGTGATCCATGTAGTGCTTTACAAATGGCTTTTCATTTGTATTACCATGTAGTGATGGAAAGAGATGATTTTGAGGTCAGAGGTGGCCCAAGACAAGTGAGTGATAGAGATTAGAGACTCCAGTAATGCTGTTTTGATATCGGAAATAGTGGCTGGGAATGGTTTATTGTTGCTCTGGCTGAGAATTATTTTCCCAAATTTGAGGTTTATGCACCTAGAAGAGGCAGAGTAGTGAGCGAGGAGAAGCCCAAGTTCATTTTCTTCTGTTGATGATGATAGTATTATCATGAAGAGTTTTCCATTGTGACCTTGCTCATTCATATTCATGTCCTCTTAGCATACTGTAACAATTTTAAAGCCCCGTTTCTGGCACTGAATGAAAATTTCCACCTTCCACTCTCTGGTTTCAACTATTTCTATATGTGTTGTTTATACTGCAGGTGCCTGTTCCTGAGCTAAAGCAACAGATTGCTTCTCTAACCGGTGTCCTGTCCGAGCAACAACGCCTTATATGCCGTGGCAAAGTTTTGAAGGATGATCAACTCCTCTCAGCTTATCGTATCCTTTTGGTTTTTTACGCAACACATTTGATTTCTCTAAGATGTGTGCTATAATATTTGTCGCCAAAGTTCTACATGCTTTGCTGAAGTAGCTAAGAATTATTGACTGTTCCTAATTTTTCATTTTTTGTTGTATTGCATAGTGTTTTAGAATTTATGTCATCAAGAAGCTGCAAATTCAGCCAATAGCCTTTTTTGTCCTATATATTAGTCTGCATTGCAAAACAAGCCATTATAAAGTGATAGATCTTATCTATTTGAGCACATAATTAGTATAAATGGTCTTGTAGATGCTACACCCGATGTGTGGTACACTTCGAATAACATGTGCTGCTATAATGCAAAAATATTGAATGGCATTATGGGACATTCTGCCATCCATTCACCACCTATAAATTTGGCATCCACCAGCGTGTATATACACCTAGAGTATCATGGACAACAAGTTGTACAGGAGAGTAATTCTTCCCCATTTTTGTATTCATCCTTACAAGGATGTTAATATATGTTTATGCCGCTTGTATGTAACATACTTTTCACAATAACAGAATTGTTCACCTTTAGGATGAAAGGTATTGTATATATCTTCTTATTGTTCTGCTCGAGTTCCTTAATATATATGTTTGTAGATGTGGAAGATGGTCACACCCTGCACCTGGTCGTGAGACAACCAATTGATTCATCTCCAGGCAGCTCTGATCATCCAGGTTTGGTTGGTTTAGGATTTCTCAAGTTAAAGTTTGATCTGGCTTGAAGGATAAGTTACACAGTTTTGATCTGACTTCACTGACAGGTTCCTTTGCTTATATATATATATATATATATATATATAGTAAGGAACTTATACGTTCATCCATACCAAGTTACACAGTGATATATTCTGCTGTCTCAAAAAGTCACGTAGTATATTTTGGTTATCAGTTCTTCCCTGCATGGTGAACTGGAATGTATCGTTTTCAATTTGAAATGTGACGGATGGCATCTAATGAATTCCGAATTGAACTGATTATCAACCTATATTTCATGTCTTCTAACATGGAACTAGCCAAAACAATATGGTGGAAGATAACCAAGAGATTATTAACGTGTAGAACATTATTCCTAGAAGTAAAACAGCGAAGATTAATCTCCAGGGACTGTAATCGTGACTTCTGAATGCTTGGCTTTGTTATTGCGTTTTTCATGCTATATTTCAAGGCCAAGCAACTATTAAGCTGAATACCAAGCTCATTGTGTCTGCAGCACCTGATCCAACGTCAAGCACTGGACACATTTTAGGCAATCGAGTAGGTCCAAGTGTGATGGTTGGATCCTTCAATATATCAGAACAGGGAGACGGAACTTTTCCTGATCTAAATCGGGTAAAATATGAATTTTTGCAAGGCATTGTAACTCAAATAGACAATTATATTTGTGGTTATTGGTTTTGTAGATTGTTTCTGCCGTGCTTAATTCTTTTGGAGTCTCAAGATCTGGAAGTGGTGGTGAGGGGATTGATCTTAATGTAAGTTCATAAAGGTTTTGGCATAAGGCAATCTATATTATGCACTCTTTCTCATATTGGATATGTTGCGTGTGCAAGAGGTGAATATTATCCTAATGTTTTTATTGGTCAGCAACCTCCTTTGGAACAGCTCTCATCTGCATCTGGACTTATTGGTACAAGAAATTATAGCAGATTACATTCTGATCAAGACCAAGCAGCTTCTGTAGCCATTCCTGTTGCATCTGTGCAGCCACCGGTAGCCTCTGAGTTTATTTGTGCATTCAAAGCATTAAATTCTGTTATCTGAATCGACATTTTGTAAAAGCGATGCAAATATTCTGTTCAGAAAAACTTTGGGAATTTCTAATATTCATCGAGTATTTTAAGTTATTTCCCTGCGCGTCGTCGTTAACTGAGGTGTTATTTCATTTTCATCTTGCTACTGCAGATTATACCCGATTCCTTGACTACTTTGTTGCAGTACTTGACTCATTTGAGGCAGGAATTTCTTTCCAATGGTGAGGGACTTTCCCTATATTTCATATATGTGTTCCTCTTTTATTATACCAGTTTGTTAAGCTTATGTTGTTGGATTTTGGATTGCAGCTGAAGGGCTAAGTGGAACTACTCAAAATACTGGTTTTTTTCGGAGTGATGCACCAGATCTGGAAGGTGCCGTGCGTTCTAGTGGGGGCAGAGGGCCTGTCAGTCCAGAGTCCTTGGCGGAGGTGATTTTTTCTGTGAGAAGACTTCTTGTTGAACAAGCTGCTGGGTGCTTATCGGTATGTGCTCTAGCCATAAAACTTGAAAAAAAAAATGTGAGTCAAGTGCAATAGCTGTTTGCTATCTATAAAATGCTCCATTTGCTATATTTCATTTTGTCCATTGCAAATGGAGCTAGAAGAGTCATTGTTGACAATTCTCCTGGCGTAGTACTAATAATGGACTAGATCAAAATGGCTCAATTAAATTCTAGTGCTTCTTCTATTAGTGAAGTTTCTAGAAAAAAAAAATATATCGAACGACGCAATGCACCTTGGGTCGCTACGGAAACAGCCTCCTTGTATAATTACAAGGGTAAGGTCTGCGTACAACTGACCCCCCCGACCCCAACCAGTTGGGAATATATTGGGTATGTTGTTGTTGTTGTTGTTGTTGTTGTTGTATTTGCTATATTTCATTATCAAATCTTGTCTCATCATCTCATTAAAGCGTTAGCCCGTGATTGTGTGACGTAATCTCGTTAATAATATAGTATTAGTGTGCTAATGTTTGTTTGTTTATTGGGTGTACTTGCATGAATAATAATGAGTTTAAAGCAATGGAAGATAATGATGAATTTAGTGAAGCCAGTTATCAACTGGTTGTGCGAATAAATCCAAGTTTCTTTCCTTTTCAGTAATAAAATAAGCTACTGTTCTGCTGCTGTGGAGTATCTTCCATCTAATAGCAGTTTCAGTTCTTGCAGTGGACAATTGGTTGAAGAAAAGAAAAACATTGTTTACTATTAAAAAATCCTGAAGATATATTTTTTCTAGTGCCTTAGTGTCTGTTCAATAGCATCTACTGCCTCCTTTCTCTTCTTCTTTTCCTCATAGCAGAGCTATAGGGATGAACCCCTAGTGGAAGACTAAAAATCCATCATATAGTTTAACAACAACTGCAATGATTTGAAATAGTTTTAAGAAGTAAGGAGTAGATCATTGTGATCTTGTTTGCAATTACTTTCCTTACTATTATAAGTTTAGTTCCTACTGAGTGTTGTAGAGGAGCAGCCTATTTTCTGAGTAAAATAATGCAAAGGTCAGAGAATTAGTTATCATCTCCGTGAATGAAGGAAAGTCAACACCACGTGCTACTGGAATGTTAATTTGATTCTGGAAGGAACTATTGTTCTTCTTCTTCACTTTTTTTTTTTTTTTTTGAAAAGAAACAAACTATTTTTCTGCAGCAACTTGCAGGACAACTGGAGTCTGAATCAAGTGTGACGGATCCACTGGAGCGCACTAGAATTCAATCAAATGCTATGAGGTCTGGAGCTCTTTTTCAGAACTTTGGGGCTTTGTTTCTTGAGCTTGGTCGGGCAATAATGACTCTGAGAATGGGCCCAGCACCAGTATGTTTTATTTGCTTCCAGTTTCTTATAGGACTTAGGTTATCACAGTGCCTACTTGCAGCTTAGGAAAGAAGTTTCACCAAATAATCACTCTTATTGTTTTAGGCTGTGTGATTTAAGTAATTGGTCCATCTTTTTCCTCAGGGTGATGCGTTTGTGAATGCTGGACCCTCTATCTTTGTCTCCTCAGCAGGACCCAACCCTATAATGGTTCAGGGGGTATTTTGTTTAATGAATTTTGCTACCTTGAGTTTGAGGCATACACACGTGGTTGCTCACTTTCTGCTTTCTATACCATAATGTACAGCCACTGTATTTCCAACCAGGAGCGCTTGGTTCGATTCCCGTTGGAAATTTTCAACATGGCTTGGCTGTAGCTGGGGATTCTTCTGGTACTGGCTTTGTTCCTAGAAATATTGACATCAGAATACGTGCAGGTGATGTTCCATAAATTCTTGTTTGGGGATGTCTTGATATCTGAAAAGGCTGGAATTTTTAGTGATGTACTTATAAAACCATGCCTTTGCGTTCCCATCTGATAAGATATTTCAGCTTTATGTTATTAATTTCTAATTCTATGAGTTTAAAACTTGTAACATGTTTCTTTTTTATGTGATCAGGATCTGTACTTACTCGAAGAGAGCCTAGTAGCTCACAATCTGTTGGTCAAGGCTCTGCAGTATCACCCGGTAGTGGAAATTCTGGTCCACGTGCTTCTGCTGATCCAAATTTACGCAGGGACCCGCAAGTGAGAGCGGTTCCTCTTAGAACAGTAGTTGCTGCAGTTCCGTCATCTGTTTCACATTCAGATTCTTCTCGTGGCCCAATAGGGATCTTATATCCTGTTTTGGCAAGAGTTCAAAATGTATCTTCTGGAAATTCTAACGGAACAGGAGCTTCTCAAGTCCCAGTTCAGCATCAAGAATCAAACGATATTACTGAACAACCTGGTGCAACACAACAACAAAACTTTACAATCACCAGAAGAGGTATGCCTTTCAGCAATTCCATATTTCTTGTTCTTGTTGATTTACATGTGAATATGTGTTATTTTTTAGAGTTTTAAAGCGACAAGATGGCTATTACCATAAACTCAGTGTGTTATCTGATCAAGGATAGATTTCACTTCAAATTGAGCCTATATCAAATAATTAGTGCATGATTTACACTTGATGCTTAAAACTTGAATAAATCTATGTAGTTTATGTTATACAACTTTGTTCCAGTCCCATTGTTGAATTTCTGGGCTTAAATTTCTTATGAAGTAATTAACTCAATTTTTCTCCCCTTGTACCTTTTGCCCAGTCGGGCTGCCAGCGAAAGTGATTGGATATAAAATAATTTCGTTATCGTTTGGTTGGTATTTTTTCCATTAGAGCTGTGATTGGATACAATATATGTCGGAATATACTCTTCGTCTGCTCCCATTTTTTTCTCCTCAATCGTATCAACATTTTTAAAATAAAAATCAATTGTAACTACACATTTCCAAACAAAATTTACTTTTCACCCACTCACACGTTTCTACCTCCCGATTATTTTCATCTTTATTTTATTATTTTTATATCACATCATTTTTAATCACCACATTTTTATCTTATATTCATGAACTATCTCAAATATATTTTATTCTTCCTCCGGCGAGACAATTAAAATAAATTCTATATCCAGTCGGTCCCGGGTGTCTATTCAAATGGTGAGATTGAAAAGACACTTTTGTGGTAATTTAACTTGTACATTCCCGGAGCTAGTTACATTTTGTTTGATTAGCTTTGAATAATTGTGGAATAAGAGAATTCATCAATTCAATCAAACTGCAAAGGCTTATTATGTATCTGAGGTTTTACAATATTGGTTTGTGTGCACGTGATCATCATGAAAAAAATACACTTATAGTCAAACTTATGATGGGGTAATTTTTCTCAGGTTTATCATCTGAAGCACTTAATGATCAAGGATTCATTGCACATATCAGAGGTGGACTGGAACAGCTGGTCAGTACATTATTTCCAGGAGAGCATGTTTTCAGTAATTCTGCTGTTCCAGGTTCAAGCTCGGGTTCCATTCCAAGGCAGCCCCAGAATATTGGTACTGCTCAGGAATCAGCACCACCTGCTGCGAGTGATGAAGGGGTTGTTTTGTCTAATATCCTACGTCAGATAATGCCGATAGTCTCTCAGTACAACGCTGGAGCTGATGTCAGTGAGGGGGAAAACCAGGTAAATATTAGTTAGGCCTTTCTAAGTCCTAATTGAAATTTGAAGCTTAAGATCTTTCCAGTTTAACTAAGTAAAAAAATGTATTTTTTTTTTTGTTGTACTGTGTTTATGGATACGATTCATGTGCAGGCTGATGATAACCAAGGTGATGGTGGTTCGTCCCACCGTCGCTGCCAGGGTGATCAGGCAGAACCAAGTTCAAAACGTCAAAGGGTATGCCTTATTTATTTCGAGTCCTGCTTCCAATTTTTTTGTATTTTTTTCCTTCCATTCGATCTCTCTCACACACACTATAAAACTAAATAAATGTGGTAAGGAATGAAGTATTTTGGATAAATATAATTTGAAGATACTGTGGTTACATTATCAACAAGATAAAAGGCTATGCCTTTAGGGATTTTTTTGTCCCCATTTCTTCTGATTTGGTGGCTAACTATGCGTTCCAATGATGCAGAGGGAGTAGTAAGCATTTATTTGTTCACATGGAACTGGAAATATTGGACTCATCTTAGTTGCTCTGAGAGCCTTTTGATGGAAGAGACCTTTTGAATCGGAAGACTTGTATCATTTAGTGGAATAAGGATTGCTAAGAGATGTACTAAAGAGCAAATCTGATACAAAAGATTTAAATTTCCTGTTATTTTATCCCCCCGACCCCACGGTTTTGTTCCTTCTGTTCCTTGGCTATGCAACTTTTACTATTCTTTAATCATTAGCTTACGGGGAAATGAACATCTTTTTTTT